TCCGCCTATGTGGAAACACGGCAGGTTAAGCTGGACGCAAGAGCTCCACACAAAGTTTGTGGAGGTCTTGAGCATGCTGGGAGGTCCTGCAGGTGAGAATATTTGAATCATTTTGGGTGGGATCTAGGTTTTTGGGTATATATTTTCAACACATTTCAAATATAATATTATTTGAGGCTTGATAGAAAAAATATTGTTTGTTTATTACATTTGCCTTTTTGAGCAGAAGCAACTCCAAAACAAATTAGGGAGGCCATGCAGGTCGAGGGGCTTACTAACGACCAAGTGAAGAGTCACCTGCAGGTTGGCTTTGAATTGTAATTTGTGAATCATAAGAATATTACCTTACAAAGACAGACTTGTTATTATCCGAACTGATGAGAATCTATATATTTGGTTGGCTGCTTTATTCCGAACTGTACATATTTTTATGAGATTATTTAGCATATTTATATTAAGGGAAAGGCGATAAACTCATGTTAGTCTTTAGTTGTTAATTTTTGGTCATTGCGTGCATAACAGAATCTTTAGATTGGATCAATTTAGTTGCAATGAAATCTTAATGATAGATCCTCCTATATACACATTAAAAATGAGATATTTCTCATGCGTTGGATCACTTTAGTAGCAATGATGTCTTAATATACAGGGGATCTTTCTCAAGCGCACGAGAAAATCTATTCACTCGATCATTTTAAAAGCAATGATATCTTAATAGTAGATTTTCTAATGTTGAAGTTATATTTTTCTCATTGATCATTTTAGTAGCAGTGATAACTACTTAATAGTAGATTTTCCAATGCTCAAATTCTATACAAGATATTTATGCTCAACATATACATGTGAGATCTTTCTCAAGCGCATGGATCATTTTAGTAGCAATGATATCTTAATAGTAGATCTTCCAATGCTCAAGTTACATACAGGGTATATTTTTTCTCATGGGTCATTTTAGTAGCAGTGATAATTATATGTCTTCCAATGCTCAAATTATATACAGGGGATCTTTCTTAAGCGCATGAGAAAATCTAGTTCATTTTAGTAGCAATGATATGTTAATAGTAGATCTTCCAGCTCAAGTTACATAGATGGTATTTTTCTCATCGGTCATTTCCAATGCTCAAATTAGATACAGGGATTTGCGCTCAACATATACAAGGGATTTTTCTCAAGCCATGAGAAAATCTAGTCATTGGATCATTTTAGTAACAAGAAATCTTAATAGTAGATCTTTCATTACTCAAGTTACATACATGGTGTTTTTCTCATGGATCATTTTACTAGTAGTGATAACTTAACGGTATATCTTCCAATGCTCAAAATATATTAAGGGGATTTTTCTCATGCGCACATACGCATGAGAGATTTTAGGCATCGTATTAGTTTAGTGACAATGATATCTTGATTGAACATCCTCACATGTGCAATTTATGTGCATTTTCTCAGGCTCATGAAAGATTTTGATGACTAAATTACTTAATGGGCCAATGATCTTATGATAAATTTAGCCATGCGTATACATGCGCGCATGAGGGTATTGTCATAGTATCGATACATGCCCCCTTATGATCATCTTCCCTAAAATATTCGTATAGTTTCATAGTGATGATATTTGTTCCAAGTGCTATAGGTATAGCAATTCTGAATTAATGCTAAGCTTAATGAATGTACGTAATATATTTGCTAAATATATTTGCGCTCAAGAAACTTGAAATTATGGTGCCGCACCAAATACCTTTAGAATATTACAAAAGGGACCAACAAAACTTAACAGGCCTCATGAAACAGTGTGACTGCAAAACAAACCAACAAGGTCATTTAGGCCCAATCCCCAAACAAAGTTATTTCCCTGCTCATATTATGAATGAAAGTTGAAACCACTCATTTATTTCACATGCAATTTAATTTGAGCTCTTATATTAATTATTTAAGCACTAATTTTATGAGTATTTGCTAGAATTTGATTTGATGTTGATGATTTAGTGGTGCTGATGGACAAGTCTTAACTGTGTGTGTGTGTTGCAGAAGTACAGGCTCAACAGCGTGGGCGTCCAACCAGCAGCTTCTGCCAAAAGTTCTAAGAGGAAAGTCCCGTTTTACTTCAGGGACTTTTGGAACCCTAGCGCTTCTCAGCAGCAGCTAGAAAGTGCAGGGAATGGTGGAGGTGGCTCTAGCAGCAGGGGAAATGCAGAGCCAGAAATGAGAAAATCAAAGAGAAGCTGGTTAGGTGATGCTTAGTTATGCATCTATGAGGGCATGTATATAGCATGATTAGGATTCAGGAAATAATAAGAGCTTCAGAGTTGTTTATAATTTCTTCTTCTTATTTTTCTTTTTGTGTCTCAAAAGTGGTTTAATTTCATGTGCATTGTAGCTGTATAATTCTACAAAGGGAGCTCATAATTAATGCAAACAGTAGCACAAAATCTCATAATACATTGGGGTTTTTTACAAAGTAAATAAAGTTTGTCAGATGATGAGAACCATAGCTTTATTCCAAGTACAATAATTCTGTGTCGACTGCATTTTCCTTACAAAGTACAAACTTACAATCCCTACTACATATGCTTCTGATAATTGCACAACCCATACAAGAATTTATACATACAAACTTAACCAACATGTGAAAGACATTATTTGAGAGTTAATTAAACATGATTTATATAGTTAATCATTTCTGTTTAATATCAAGGAGAAGTAGTTTGCTTTGAAGAAGAAGAATAAGCAGGTGGGATTCCAGGGATGCGAGGTGTAGGTGGGAGTGGGAGTGGGAATGGGAATGGAGGGAGGAATGGGAAAGATGGTGGTGGAGGTGATGGTGATGGAGTAAAACCAGGTATAGGTGGCAAGTTGGGAATCAATGGTGCTGCGCCTGCTGGTGGAGTAAAACCTGGTATTGGGGGCAAATTGGGAATTAATGGTGCTGGTGGAGGCTGAAATGGATTGGGGATAAGTGGAGTTGGCTGTGGCACAAGTGGATTTGGAGGCAAAATTGATGGTTGCTGAAATGGGTTTGGTGGGAAGAAAGTATCTGGGTGGGCTACTTTTTTATCAGTTAGTTGCCCTGCCTCTGTAGTTTTACCAGGAAAGGGGGGTAAAACTGGAATTCCTGGAATTCCAGGAATTCCTGGAAGGGGAGGGAGAGGAGGAAGTTGTGGCAATGGTGGAAGAGGGAGTGTAGGAAGAGGGAGTGTAGGAAGAGGAGGAAGATCATCTATTGTGGGGTTTTGAGTTGGTGGTGGAAATGTGAGCTCATCAGTTGGAGGAAATGAGAATTTCTGAGAACTGAATTCCTCGGAGTTTTGAATGCTTGGTTTTTGGTTACATAGGCTTGGCTGCTTTAGAGGCTTAAAGGTGAAGAACCCAGCTGAGAAAATGTGTGTTCCTTGCTTTCTTGACTTGAGATGCAGTGAAGATGAAGTGGCTGTTGAGGCCACAGCACAATATGGTTCACTGCTGCTGATTAATTTCACAGAACACCCTTCAATTTTCTTGACATGCTTGCTCACAGAGAAAGGCAACTGGACTCTGAACACTCCATGGCTATCAGTTTTCACTTCTGTCTGGAAACTTGGTTTTGAACTCCCATCTTTGCATTCTACACCAACAGAAGCCCCTGCAGAAAAAATAAGTTGAAAAATAAGTTAACTGAACCCAAAATTTACAGTATAAAAAGTACTTTTTGATTGAGTTGTTGTTGGAAAATTTGAAATGAACCTGAAATGAAGTGGCTGGCATGTGAGAATTCTGCTTGGAAACATGTGTCACAGTAGACGGTACCTATAACAACTGCAGATGGGTGCTTCTTCTCATGGCTAGCTTCTGAGGGAGTACTTAATGAGAGAGTACTGATAAAAAAGAGTAGTGTAAAAAACCAAGACATTTTAGAGCCTCTATTGCCTCTGAGCAACTCTAACTCTACGAATGAGTAGATGTAGGTTGCCTTTTTATATAAATTCCTGAGGCTTATAGCTAATATAAATATTCTCTACAGCATTCATTATACACTTTTTTGTTTCTTTCTGGTTGTTTTGAGGAATGAAAAATGAACTTTTTTCTTCAAATTTTATAGCCTGCTGGGCCATCAAGCTAATTTATTTCACTCATGCAAAAACCAGTCAACTGCAAACTAGAAGAAGTGAATGTAGGTTCATTTCCTACCATCAAACAATCCAAAAAAGAAGGTTAATATTGTGATTGTGAGGTAGATAAAAAGAGGCCCCTAACTTTTGCCTTGTTTACTTACATTTATTGAGTTCGTTTCTTTGTTTGGTGTAAGAATACTAAAGAGAATAGTTGGGTCCCCGTTGGTTCACGAGACAAGTGGAGTAACCACAAATTTCATGAGTCTGAAGCTGTACACTGTCAACAACACAGGTTGAAGATGTTGTTGCGTTTATTTATGTATGTTCTTCACACAGAAAAAAAAATGATGGGCGCCTACTATGAGCTGCTCTCAGTACATATGTATCTGAGCAAATTGAAAAACTCCCCAAGTCACAACAACTGCAGATGGGTGCTTCTTCTCATGGCTAGCTTCTGAGGGAGTACTTAATGAGAGAGTAATGATCAAAAAGAGTACTGTCAAAAACCAAGACATTTTAGAGCCTCTATTGCCTCTGAGCAACTCTAACTCTATGAATGAGTAGATGTAGGTTGCCTTTTTATATAAATTCCTGAGGCTTATAGCTAATATAAATATTCTCTACAGCATTCATTATACACTTTTTTGTTTCTTTCTGGTTGTTTTGAGGAATGAAAAATGAACTTTTTTCTTCAAATTTTATAGCCTGCTGGGCCATCAAGCTAATTTATTTCACTCATGCAAAAACCAGTCAACTGCAAACTAGAAGAAGTGAATGTAGGTTCATTTCCTACCACCAAACAATCCAAAAAAGAAGGTTAATATTGTGATTGTGAGGTAGATAAAAAGAGGCCCCTAACTTTTGCCTTGTTTACTTACATTTATTGAGTTCGTTTCTTTGTTTGGTGTAAGAATACTAAAGAGAATAGTTGGGTCCCCGTTGGTTCACGAGACAAGTGGAGTAACCAACTCAGAAATCTCTGTACTCTGTAGGCTTATAAGACACTCTCCCATGTGTTGATGTTGCATCCAGATTCCTTTTGCATCAATATCCTTCCATCCCAACAGTATGTTTTTTTTCTTTTTTTAATTCAATTTTCCACATTTTTTACTGTCCATCAAATGCATAGCATTTTGGATGAAAAAGAAAAACAAGAACTTCTACTACTGACAAAAGAGACACCAGTCACACCACAAAGGCACAAACTATAGAATTATGATAATTAGATCCTGCATTGGAAATTGACAGATTTTCTTCACCTTCACCACAGTTTTGCATTGAGCTGCAAACCATCCCACAAACTTGCACCGCTTCATTCTTTGTCCGTGGGCCACAATTTTTGACAAATTTGACAATCTAATAAGGCGGTTCCTGACAATCCAAGGTTATCTCCATGACAACCACAAGCCACTGTTTCACTGTTATCTTGTGAGGAAATTGAAATGTAACACCAAATTTTCTTTTACACAGTGCAAGAGATAATGCATGTTAAAAGTTAAAAAAGAAAAGGGGATGGTTTTGTCTAATTCTATGATGTACAAAACATCTCTTTGTCCTTCACGGGTTCCGAAACACAAAGTCATGTGTCTTCACTTCACGGGCGACCTTAAGCCTGTGACTGTCCATCAAATGCATAGCATTTTGGGTGAAAAAGAAAAACAAGAATCACACGTGAAGATCCACATATCGGCAATTGAAATTCAGAGGTCGGCTCTTTGTTGGACCCACTTGTTTTCAATGGAACTCAGAGGTCGGCTCTAACAACATCGATACTGTCCCCACTTTACCACCTGCCCAATCCGTCAGGTGTGGGGTTTTATCACAAAAAACCTCGATATTAGTTAGAGTGTGGTAATTCTATTTAAACCCATTTGTTTTGTTTCACCTCACCGATGTGGGATTCCAACAAGATTGTCTTCACCTTCACCACAGTTTTGCATTGAGCTGCAAACCATCCCACAAACTTGCACCGCTTCATTCTTTGTCCGTGGGCCACAATTTTTGACAAATTTGACAATCTAATAAGGCGGTTCCTGACAATCCAAGGTTATCTCCATGACAACCACAAGCCACTGTTTCACTGTTATCTTGTGAGGAAATTGAAATGTAACACCAAATTTTCTTTTACACAGTGCAAGAGATAATGCATGTTAAAAGTTAAAAAAGAAAAGGGGATGGTTTTGTCTAATTCTATGATGTACAAAACATCTCTTTGTCCTTCACGGGTTCCGAAACACAAAGTCATGTGTCTTCACTTCACGGGCGACCTTAAGCCTGTGGGCTGAGGGCCTTCATGTCTGCTTGTTGAATGTGGAGTTTTTCAGCCGATGGATACCAATTCCCAAATGGATACGTCAAGCTGGAAACATAAGATGAGATTCTTGATTAGATATTTGATGGCTGGTCCATTATTATTGAATTGAAACAATAATAATATCCATAGTTTGATTGGTAACAATGTTTGCCAACTCAAAGGGTAAGAATGTAGCCAATCGACTGAACTTTTGTTTAGTGCCAGGTGTATCCACTGAATGTAAGGTCTCATGTTGTTTAGTGCCAGGTGTATCCACTGAATGTAAGGTCTCATGTTTGACTTACACATAAATACGAGAATGATACATATTTGTGACGGGTGCAGAACTTTGTTGTGGGTACGCTTCCCATTGTAAAAGTATATTTGTAAACATCAGTAATTTTTTCTTTTTTATTAAATAACATTAGACACCTCATTCATGCGGAAGTTCTTTTATCACATTGAATGTATAATTTATAGCAGAAATTTTCATCCGTACAATAATGTAATCATCAACATGTGATATTTCTGTTTGTTCTTCCATCTGAGTTTGTATTTATTCCAGTCGGCATGCTTCATATGGAGAAAGAAAGTACTTGATGAGCCATCTGTCCATGAAATCATTGGTTTCTAAAACCGCCTAATATTTGTAGAACAAAACCATAGATTAAATAAACCCAACTGCAAGTTTTTGGACTGGAGTGGTACCATTTGCAGAACAAACCAATGTGATACAGCGCAAACTATATTGGCCAGTTGCAGATTCGAAGAAAAAAATGCAAAATAATCACAGCCATCATCTGTATGTGTATCTGTATCTGTATGCAAAAACAAAAAAAACAAAAAAAAGAAGAGGAAAGAGAGAACAATCAACGAGGCTTGTCATAAAAAACAACTGCAGATGGGTGCTTCTTCTCATGGCTAGCTTCTGAGGGAGTACTTAATGAGTGAGTACTGATAAAAAAGAGTCTGTAAAAAACCAAGACATTTTAAAGCCTCTATTGCCTCTGAACAACTCTAACTCTAAGAATGAGTTTATGTAAGTTGCCTTTTATATCAATTGCTGAGGCTTATAACTAAAAACTAATATAAATATTCTCCACAGCATTCATTACAATTTGTTTCTTTCTGGTTGTTTTGAGGAATGAAAAAACCAGTCAACTGTAAACTAGAAGAAGTGAATGTAGGTTCATTTCCTACCACCAAACAATCCAAAAATAAGGTAAATATTGTGATTGTGACTGTGAGGTAGATAAAAAGAGGCCCCTTAATTTTTGCTTTGCTGGTTATTTGTTTACTTACATTTATTGAGTTTGTTTCTTTGTTGGTGTAAGAATACTAAAGAGAATAGTTGGTTCACAAGACAAGTGGAGTAACCACAAATTTCATGAGTCTGAAGGTGTACATTATCAACAACACAGGTTGAAGATGTTGTGTTTATTTATGTATGTGCTTCACACAGAACCAAAATGATGGGCGCCTACTATATTGGTTAGAAGTATTGATATATATCATCTTTACAAAAAGACACTTGAATCCGATATCATTTGACCACTCAATTAAATTATTGAAATTTAAGTACTTTCTTGAATCACCGTGTTTATTTTGTTGGTCTTAATTAGATGTCTTAATGATTTTCAATTTGCAAGGATGATCTTTGAATGAAGATGTGAAAAATAGATCGTTTGGATTGTTGAAAAAAATTTCGCAGGAGACCCTAATGGGTGTCCCTCAAGGGGAATATATATATAATCTGTGAAAATTGAAAACTCCCAAGTCCGAAACAAAGTTTACAACTTTCCATGGTGTCAGAATATGTGGTTTGAGCAGAGCATGGGATCTTCTCCTGACCTAATGTGGCATATTAATAGGATTTTTTGCTTGGGTTAAAATAATAGCAATGTGAGACCTCCAAATCTCATGGAGGTCTTCTACTTCTACGAGCATAGAACAACCCCTGAATCATTAGATTCATCGATTACAATTTGCTCTAAATTTTCTAACTGTTTTTAACTGCATAAAAAACCAGACTTTTTGTTCAGGTAGTCCATAAATAGGTAAAGTAATTCCGGCCAAATTAAAAGTGTCATGTGATTACAAGTTACAACCAAAGAGCCTTTTCCTCAGTTATTTGGCACAAAGTTTTGAACCTTGTATCACCACCATCAGCAATTATGAGTAATTTGAGCACAGCTGGGACAACAATAATACAATGTATATTCAATAATGCATCAGTGAAAATTGACTGCTATGGATAACGGTGGTGATACAACAATGATTTTGGGATTTGATTATTTGGAATTTGAGAGACTTACATTTAGCAGAAAATGGACAAGCATATGTGCGTTTACCCTAAAAATGTTCAAACCTCGGAGATAGGCTTTAGATTGTGTGAATTGCGAACGTGCCACTATTAGTGGTGTAAACCCTAATAGACTTGAAAGAGAATTAAGTAACTTGTGCACCAAGAAAACTCACTTAAATCAAATGATTGTGAATTGAAATAATAAACTAAATCAATGGAGTTTCTTTTCTATGCCTCAAGACAAATGACGACTTTATAATTTCTCTAAAACAATAAGGGTAATAATCGACAAATAAACAAGTAAACAAAAGGGATCCAGATCAAGGGATCTTATCAGATAATAAATTGCCACCACCTTGGATCACTTCTGATTTAATTCAGAGGTTAAGGGTCTAGTGGCAATAGCAATAGTATATCGGAATCTGCACTGCTAACAAGAAAATCACCTTCAATTGATGAAGATCAATTGGAAATCAATACCAGAGACAGATGCGGCAGAGCAATTATCAAGAAAGATGTAGCCTTCGAGAAGGAATTAGTGTTTGTACTGAGTTTATTGTTGAAAAGTTGTGTGTGTTATCGTGAGCTATCTATTCCCTTTTATATGAATTTTGACTTGGTAGAGAGATTACAACCCATTAGGCCACACCATCATGAGCATCAAATCATAATCGATTAGAATTAATTATTTAGTTAATCGCCAAGTAATCTCATGATTTATCCTTGATTTTCTAGGTAATTTTCTGGCCCAAGGAATCTTAACCGGATTGCAATACTAAAATCCCCAGCGATGACTTGGCCCAAATTGGCTTAAATCTCATACGTATAAAAACTAAGCCCAAACATTACCCCATAAGCCCAATACACTTTATTAGAGGGATTTGGGGTTACATGCATGTGCGTGACACGATTTGACCGTTACCTGCAACATCCATGCGTCGTCTTCATTTCAATCACTTAAATCGCGCCATTTCGACTTCTACTTTAGTCTTTCGAACCTTTCCATCTTCTTCTCACTACGAAGCCTAATTTGTTCAGAGATTCTTAGCGATTATCATTACCTTCAACTTTTCCAAACTTTTGTTACCGAAAGTCCCAAGTTTCACCACCCTCTAACCAATTCTGGTTTCAGAATCCATTTCTTTGTCTCAATGGCCACCTCTGACTCCAACGTCCCAAAGCCTATCTCTGAAAAAGATGCTACTATGCATGCCCAAGACATTTGTGCATAATTGGGTAAAGTTGCTTGCTGATGATGGTCTAAGGCTCGTACAATTCAGCTGAGGGTCCAGACTTCAACACTTGGTCCATAAAGAACGAGTTCAGTTTTCCTGTGACCAAACTCCTTGTGGCCCCCTGTGACCTTCTTATTCTTTTGACATGTGTCCCTTCACTTAACATAAAATTAACACTGTTAACTTCATTTGAAAATTAAAAAACAAAAAAATAATTCTTCATCCTCTTTCTCTTTGGTCTATGCCCAGATATTCACTCTCAGCAACAAATTATCGTGCAAAAATTTCCCACAACAATAACCCATAAGTGGTAGATTTGCATGTGTATTTTTGTCCGGTCATCAACATCAATGAACCCATCTTGAATTCACAAGCTTTTCTTTGTTGTGTTTTTTCCATTGATCAAACCAGATTGTTGATACCACCGGGTGACGGCTGCTGGCCTGGTTAATTTCCGACAATCGCACATCAATTGGTGACACCCACGAGCTCCGATTTATGGAACCCAAATGAAACCACCGTCATCCGACACCTGAAAGTTGTCGAACTCGCCTTAGAAATCTTTGTTGAATCTGCAATTTGCCGACCCGCCGAGCTTCTACTCGAGTTGTCGAGGCCCAGCAACAGAACCGCCATGCTCCGACGTACAAAACCCCATCAGCCTTTTAACCACCTTACACCGGAAAATTGTTTTCCTTGTCTTGTCCCTTCATCTTTCCTGTGCTCTAATATAAAAACTCAGTTTTGTTCAAAAAAATAATCTGAAAACTCAGCCAGTTCTTGAAAAACAAACCTTTAATATAATTATGTTAATTATTATTTTGATAGAAATTAAAGACTTAACAGAGTTAAGTTTTGGTTAAATGAAGGGACATGTGTCAAAAGAATAAGAAGATCACAGGGTGCCACAGGGAGTTTGGTCACAGGAAAACTGAACTCATAAAGAACAGTCCAGTGCAATGGTTTGAGTGGATTGGCGATCTTCATGACCAGTATCCGGAGCTTTGGGAAAAGCATGGCATTTATGATGCCGTTGTGCTTTTTCGTTTTGACACTTCTAGGTATATTAGTCTTCAACATATACAGGGGATCTTTCGCAAGTGCATGAGAAAGTCTACTCATTGGATCATTTTAGTAGCAATAATATCTTAATAGTAGATCTTTCATTGCTCAAGTTACATACAAGTTTTTTTTTCTTTTCACATGGTTCATTTTAGTAGTTGTGATAACTTAATAGTATATCTTCCAATGTTAAAATTATGTACAAGGGATTTTTCTCATGCACATGAGAGATTTAGGCCCCATTTCATTTTAGTGTGATATCTTTATTGAATATCCTCCAATTCGCAATTTATGCTCATTTTCTCAGGCTCGTGAAAGATTCTGGTGATTAGATTACTTAATGGAACAATGATCTTATGATAAAATTTGTCATGCATATACATGTGCGAATGAGAGTATTGTCATAGTATCTATACATGCCCCATTATGATCATATTCTTTGCTTGACCTGGAAATATTATCTACGATTCGCTAACACGACACGAATTCGCACGAACAAATCAATATTTGGGTTTAGCTTGAACCCGTTAGCCACCTATTAAGCTAACGAGTCATGTCAATATCATTCGCGAATATTTTGTGTTGGTCATTCACGAATTTAAACGGGTCGTGTTCGTTTTTGGTATTTTCCACCCGTTAACTTAACGGGTCGTGTTCGTATCAACTCATTAAGAAGCGGGTGAGCACAAACATAACAATATATTTGGTCCAAGTGCTATAGGTATAGCAATGCTGAATTGATCCTAAGCTTTGTTTTTGAGTTTTTATCAAAAATAGCCATAATTTACCCCATACTTTCATAAATGTTAGTTTTGTAAAACACTTTCAAAAATAGCCAAAAATCCACTTAAATAGACTCAAATGCCCTAAAAACTAAAACCACATAAATCTAAAATGCAAAACCCTACTAGATAAAAATTTAGAATTTAGTAGGCACCTTTGCAGCACTAGTCGAACTCCCTGTACAGTAAGTGCCTTTTTTTTTTTTTGGTGTGGGTTTCCCTTGCTTCTTTGTTCGGTCTACCATTTTTTTTAATAAACATATGCAGGCCCAAGCATGCTCTTGCTCATGGGATCTTAACAGTCCACAACATATATATATATATATATATAGGGGGTGGATCCGTGGCACCATATTTTTGACACAAGTTTTGACACAATTTTTGGGACATTAGATTACTCCATTTTTAATGAATGAGATTAAATATGACATGACTTTTTGACATGAAAAATAAATTAAAATGTTTTTCTCTCTCCTCTCTCTATTTTCTCGAAAAGGTAAATTTCGATCACAATTTTTTTTTTCTCTCTCCTCTCTCTCTCTTCCCTAACCGTTCTCTGCTAATCATCTCTAGACGAAGCAGCTGTCGCCATGTTGAACGCTCCCAAGCACACCTTACACAAGGTCACCAATACAAGAAAGGAAATGATAACCTTACTGCCCAGCACCCAATCAAGAGGTGGTGGAGAAAAGAAGGGGAAGGGGACCTCTCTTTGTTAGGTTTGTAGTTCGTGTTGCTTTCTATCTTGTTGGAGCTTTAAAGCAAATATGGTAGACAAGTCCTTATTCTTTTTTTGGACGAAGACAAGTCCTTATTCTTAGTTGTTCTGTTAAACATTGAATTGTTCTAGACAATCTTTCTCTGATCAATTAAGATTAGAGTTTTAATTCAAAAAAAGAAAAAGAAAAATCTATCTTTTTGCTTTGGTTCTCTCACTTCATTCAGAGTAGACATTCATTCATTCTCTCTGTTTTCTCTCTCTATCAGGTAATGGTGGTTGTTGTAATGGAAATGTGTTATGAGAAATAATAACGGGTTAACAAATTATCAGCAGTAACTCTAACAACAAAAAGAAGGAGAATGAGAATGAGAGATTTATTAAGAGAAAAATGTTCATGCTACACGAGGGATTTCAAATTTTTTGGGAAAGAATGAGAGAAAGATCAAGATGTTTTTTTGGTCTGATAAAAGAAAGAGTTTAGTAGAGAGTGTTGATGAAGAGAAATTGGAGAGAGAAAAAAAAATTGTGATAGAAATTTACCTTTTCGAGAAAATAAAGAGAGGAGAGAGAAAAACATTTTAATTTATTTTTCATGTCAAAAAGTTATGTCATATTTAATTATATCCATTAAAAGTGGAGTAATCTAATGGCCCAAAAATTGTGTCAAAACTTGTGTCAAAAATATGGTGTCACGGATCCACCCCCATATATATATATATATATATATATATAGGTTTTGATCCTTAACTATCTCGTTATATGCTTATAATCATTTGGACCTGTTTATGAAGTGAGTCATATGCATACATGATATGATACTGCATAGTGTCATCTTAAATATTGTAGTATCATATCCGTATCTGTTCATCCCTTTACTGGACAGCATGGTTCTTTTTTTTTTTTTTATACTAGAATCCATCATGCTTCTTTAATGTTCATGATGGAAGAATTTTTATTTATTAAAAAAAAAAACTTATACAGTATTCTCTCAGAAACTTTGCACAACCAAGATGGCCTTGAGGAATTAGTTACTTGGACTTGAATATAAAAGTGTGTATTGTATGTGATCAGTGCTCTACATGGAGATGAAGGAGGGGACTGCCTCTGGGCTGAGGACGTGAGTAATGGAATGGATAGTTAGAAGATGGAAGCGGGATCCACAAGTGCGATTTCCTTTTCCTAATGTTTCCCGAATTTGTCCAAAAAATATATATATAATCAAATAGTAGTAGTTTTAACTTATGTGGGTTTTAGTTTTGGGGGCATTTGAGTCTATTTAAGTGGGTTTTTGGTTATTTTTGAAAGTTTTTAACAAAACTAACATTTATGAAAGTATGGGGTAAATTTTGGCTATTTTTGATAAAATAATCAAGAGTCCCATTCTCTTGGACCACAGGAGTTCAAGAGACTTGTGGTCACCTACCCTTAGATTTAATCCAAAGGCTGAGAAAAATTTACTTTAAAATATCTTTTTTCTTTTACCTTTTAAATTTCACTTAACAAAAAGGGAAAAAACTAAAAACTAAAAACCCAAAATCAGAACCTGAAAGTTGTTTATAATCTTCTTTCTTTTTTGGGTCTCAAAAGTTGTTTAATTTCATGTTGAATTGTAGCTGTGAGGCATTTTTTGTTTTTGTTTTTGCTTTTTGGGTTTTAATTTCTGCCCAAAATGGTGCAGCTTAAGTGCTAAAATTTCCATTTTCATCGACTTATGTTTCCCAAGCAAACTGGTCTAAGAAGAACAATTCAATTTTAGCATGAAGAAGCAATTTTTTCTTTTTCTTCTCAAAGGGTCTTTTTGATTGGACAATGTTGAAATGCAGCTCCAAATTCAGCAATTCAGGTATAATTCTACAGAGGGAGTTCATAATTAATGCAAACAGTAGCACAAAATCTCAGAATATATTGGGATTTTTTACAAAGTAAATAAGTCTGTCAGATGATGAGAAAACCATAGCTTTATTCCAAGTACAATAAGTAACTTACATCTTACCCAAAAAAAAAAAAGTAACTTACATACTCCTTACAAAGTATAAACTTACAAGCCCTACTACATATATGCTTCTGATAATTGCATACCCCATACAAACTTAACATGATTTATTTAGTTAATCATTTCAGTTTAATATCAAGGAGAAGTAGTTTGCTTTGAAGAAGCACGTGGGATTCCAGGGATGCGAGATGTTGGTGGTGAACTTGTTTTTGGAATTTGTGGTGTTGTGAAGGAAGTATCTGGGTGAGCTACTTTTTTATCAGTTCGTTGCCCTGCCTTTGTAGTTTTACCAGAAGAAGGGGGTAAAAGTGGAATTCCAAGTCCTGGAAGTCCAGGAAGTCCTGGAAGTCCCGGGAGTCCCGGGAGTCCTGGAAGTCCCGGAAGTCCTGGGAGTCCCGGAAGTCCTACTTTTTTATCAGTTACTTGCCCTCCCTTTGTATTTTTAGCAGTAAAGGGGGTTGAAAGTGGAATTCCTGGAAGTCCTGGAAGTCCTGGGAGTCCTGGGAGTCCTGGGAGTCCTGGAAGTCCTGGGAGTCCTGGCAGTCCTGGGAGTCCTGGAAGTCCTGGGAGTCCTGGAAGCCCTAATAATTTTTTATCAGTTAGTTGCCCTGCCTTTGTATGTGGAATTCCTGGAAGTCCTGGGAGTCCTGGGAGTCCTGGAAGTCCTGGAAGTCCTGGAAGTCCTGGTAGTCCTGGCAGTCCTGGCAGTCCTGGAAGTCCTGGGAGTCCTGGGAGTCCTGGAAGCCCTAATAATTTTTTATCAGTTAGTTGCCCTGCCTTTGTAGTTTTACCTGGAAAGGGGGGTGTAACTGGAATTCCTGGAAATGAGGATTTCTGAGAACTGAATTCATTGGAGTTTGGAATGCTTGGTTTTTGGTTACAGAGGCTTGGCTGCTTTAGAGGCTTGAAGGTGAAGAAACCAGCTGAGAATATGTGTGTTCCTTGCTCACTTGACTTGAGATGCAGTGAAGATGAAGTGGCTGTTGAGGACACAGCACAATATGGTTCACTGCTGCTGATTAATTTCACAGAACACCCTTCAATTTTCTTGACATGCTTTCTCACAGAGAAAGGCAAAGGGACTCTGAACACTCCATGGCTATCTGTTTTCACTTCTGTCTGGAAACTTGGTTTTGAACTCCCATCTTTGCATTCTACACCAACAGAAGCCCCTGCAGAAAAATAAGTTGAAATTAAGTTAACTGAACCCAAAATTCACAATATAAAAAGCACTTTTGATTGAGGAGTTGTAGGAAATTTGAAATGAACCTGAAATGAAGTGGCTGGCATGTGAGAATTCTGCTTGGAAACATGTGTCACAGTAGACAGTGCCTACAACAACTGCAGATGGGGGCTGCTTCTCATGGCTAGCTTCTGAGGGAGTAGTCAATGAGAGAGAACTGATAAAAAAGAGTAGTGTAAAAAACCAAGACATTTTAGAGCCTCTATTGCCTATGAGCAACTCTAATATTCTTGACTCTGAGAATGAGTTGATATAGGCTGCCTTTTATATCAATTGCTGAGGCTTATAATGAATATAAATACTCTCTACAGTATTCACTATACACTTTCTGAAAAATGAAACTTTTTCTTCAAATTTTACAGCCTGACGCATTAAGCTTCCTTATTTCACCCATGCAAAAAGCCAGTCAACCGCAAAGTAGAAGAAGTGAATGTAGGTTCATATCCTACCACCAAACAATCCAAAAAGAAGGTTAATATTGTGATGGAGAGGTAGATAGGAAGAAATTTTTGCTTTGCTGGTTCATTTGTTTACTTACATTTATTGAGTTTGTTTCTTTGTTGGTGGTGTTGAGTTGTGGAGATACAATTCAACTAGGAAAAGGACTCAATCTTTCATTTCAACATAAAACGGAGTCATTTGAGAAGATTTGACCCCTAAAATTGACTCTCTTGCATTTACCTTGGATTTTATGTCCCACTATGACTCAAACAAGCTCGTCGTTACAACTTAAAGGATTTTATAGTAAGTGGTTGATTCTATTTCAAAATAAAACTGAGTCATTTTGATAAGATTTGACCCCTAAAATTGATTGAAAAATAGATTTTTTTTTGTCATATAGAAACATATATAGATATATATGTGAAAATTGAAAAACTCCCCAGCCCCAAACAAAGTTTACAACTTTCCATGGTGTCAGAATATATATGTTGTTTGAGCAGAGCATGGCATTTCTCAAGACCTAATGTGGCATATTAATACCCTAATAAGGGTTAATTTTAATTTAGTATCCTAAATTTTTACCTTTAAGGCACGTTTGCTCCTACACTCTCAATTTTAATGATTAAATACCCTAAGTTTTTGAATTTTGCAATCTAGTTTCGACGTTAACTTCATCATCAAAATTTCCATTAATTGCTTGCATGGCAGGCATGGGTCTCACCTATTCGCTTATTTCGATGTCAGTTGAAGAGTGTTTTCAGGTAATTGGTGTCTTCCCGCCCATGAAGAACACATTACATGCATTAATACCAAACCATTTTTGAACAAAATACCCGAAAATACCCTTCAATTGACATTCAAATGAGTGAATAGGTGGAACCCAGGCTTGCCAAGCAAGCAATTAACGGAAATTTTGACAGTGAAGTTAAAGACGGATCTAGATTGCAAAAATTGAAAAAATTAGGGTATGTAATTGTTAAAATTGAGAGTACATAGGTAAACGTGCCTTTAGGATAAGAGTTCAAAGTACTAAATTGAAATTAACCCTATTAATAAGGCTTGTGTTAAAGTAATAGTAATGTGAGACCTCCAAATCTCATGGAGGTCTTCTACTTCTATGAGGACACTCTCCCTGAATCATTATATTCATTAATTACAATTTGCTTTAAATTTTCTTACAAAACAAGTCTTTTTGTGCAGGGCGTCCATAAATAGGTAAAGTAATTCCTTTAGGATAAGAGTTCAAAGTACTAAATTGAAATTAACCCTATTAATAAGGCTTGTGTTAAAGTAATAGTAATGTGAGACCTCCAAATCTCATGGAGGTCTTCTACTTCTATGAGGATAGCAAGCAATTAACGGAAATTTTGACAGTGAAGTTAAAGACGGATCTAGATTGCAAAAATTGAAAAAATTAGGGTATGTAATTGTTAAAATTGAGAGTACATAGGTAAACGTGCCTTTAGGATAAGAGTTCAAAGTACTAAATTGAAATTAACCCTATTAATAAGGCTTGTGTTAAAGTAATAGTAATGTGAGACCTCCAAATCTCATGGAGGTCTTCTACTTCTATGAGGAGGACACTCTCCCTGAATCATTAGATTCATTAATTACAATTTGCTTTAAATTTTCTTACAAAACAAGTCTTTTTGTGCAGGGCGTCCATAAATAGGTAAAGTAATTCCGGCCAAATTAAAGAGTCATGTGACTGCAACCAAAGAGTCTTTTCCTCAGTTATTGACAGTCTAGAAAACTTGCATCATCTCATCAGCAAACAGATGAACATTCAATAATTCATCAGTGAAAATTGGGTGCTATGATAATGGGTTTGGTTCAGAAACTACCAATCTACATAGAACAATGATTTTGGGATTTGATTATTTGGAATTTGGAAGACTTATTTTTTAGCAGAAAATGGACAAGCATATGCATCCAATTATCCAAACTTGAAACGAAAGGAAGCTACAACTTCCAAGTATTTGAGCACTTTCCAGCCAACTAAAGAATCTCTGTACTCGATCCCAGGCGCTTGCGAATAGAGCAGACTTTGTTGGGAGAGGTCCCCGCTTTGCGCCCGACAATACCTCGAGGGTTAGTCCCCGCAATCGCGCGGGGATACCTTGGTTTTCAACAAAAAAAAAAAAGAATCTCTGTACTCTGTACGCTCATAAGATAAGACACTCCCATGTGTTGATGTTACATCCAGATTCCTTTTGCAGCAATGTACATATCCTTTCATCCCAACAGTCGGTTTTTTTTTTCCCCTTTCTTTTTTTAAGTCAATTTTCAACAGTTTTTAGTGTACAACTGCATAGCATCCTGGGTGAAAAAGAGAAAAAAAAAAATTAACTTCGACTGACAAAAGATACTCCAGTCACACCACAAAACACAGGCACAAACTCCAGATTATGATAATTAGATCCTGTAATTAAAATTGACAGATTGCCTTCACCAATTGATTACCTTGTGACCAAGGCAATCCCACAAACTTACACCGTTTCATTCTTTGTCCGTGGGCCACAATTTTTGACAAATTTGACAATCTAATAAGGCGGTTACTGACGGTTCAAGGTTATCATGTGAGGGAATTGAAATGTAACACCAAATTTTCTTTTACACAGTGCAAGAGATAATTAATGCATGTTAAAACTTAAAAGTTAAAAAAAAATGATTGTTTTTTCGAATTCTATGATGTAGGGTTTGCCCTAGGGTTTAGGGTTCCAAAAGACCTGTCATGTCTACACTTCACGGGCGAGCTTAAGCCTGTCAAGTGTCGACAGGACTTTCATGGCTGCTTGTTGAATGTTCTATAGTGGAGTTTGCCAGCTGATGGATACCAATTCCCAATATATGCCAAGCTTGAAACATAAGATAACATTGTTTATTAGATTTTATCTCTGATATCTGGTCCATTATTATTGAAACAATAATAATCCTTAGTTTAGATAGGTAAACTATCCCAAACAAGGTTGCCGACTCAAACGTTAAGATTGTAGTCGATGAACTAGACTTTGGTTTAGTGTTAGGTATATCCCTTGAGTGTGAGGTGGACATTAATTTGGGCGAATTGATAAAACCGACTAAATCAAACTGTAATTATCAGTTTGGTTTGGTTTGATTTTAATTAAGAAAAAGTTAAATGGTTTAAAAATTAAACCAGATCGTATATGGTTTGATTTGGTTTGATTTTGAACTTTTGTAAACTGACCTAAACTAAACCGGACTGTTTATATGTATATTTATTTACTTAGATTTTACATGTGTAATACTCTAATTAGGTAATACCTATATAGTTACTGAAATTTGAAGTTTTATGTCATCTGTCCATCAAGTACTTTCTTTCTCCATATGAGCATTATGATTACATATGAATTGAGCTATATTAGTTATTAAAATTTGAAGTTTTATGGCATTGAAATTCCCAAATGGATATGCCAAGCTTGAAACATAAGATAACATTGTTTATTAGATTTTATCTTTGATGCCTGGTCAATTATTATTGAAACAATAATAATCCATAGTTTAAATAGGTAAACTATCCCCAAACAAGGTTGCCGACTCAAACGTTAAGATTGCAGCCGATGCACTAGACTTTGGTTTAGTGTTAGGTGTATCCATTGACTGTAAGGTGTGCATCAATCCGGCCGAATTGATAAAACTGATTGAATCAAATTGTAATTATCGGTTTAGTTTGGTTTTGATTAAGAAAAAGTTAAATGGTTTAAATTGGTTTGGTTTGATTTGATTTGATTTCCTTCATGACTTTTGTCAAAATCAAACAAAACCAAATGGTTATATTGTAATTGGTTCAGTCATGGTTTTGAGGTGAAACCGATTCAATCCAGATCGTGCCCACCCCTCAGGTGTGACTTACATAAATACGATAATGATATATATTTGTAACGGGTGCATAGCTTTGTTGTGGGTATATTACTTGTCGTAAAAATATATTTGTAAACATCATTTTTATTACACCTCATTCATGCAGGGAACTTTTTGATCACGTCGAATTTATAATGTACATCAGCAATTTTCATACAACGTAATCATCAGCATGTGATATTTCTGTTTGTTCTTCCATCTGAGTTTGTATTTATTCTAGTCTGCATGCTCATATGGAGAAAGAAAGTACTTGATGAGTCATCTTTCCATGCAATTATTGGTTTCTAGATCAGCATAATAATAGTACCAAACAATAGATTAAACCCAACTGCAAGTATGTATATTGGACTGGAGTGGCACCATTTGCAGAACAAAACAATGTGATACAGCGCAAACTATATTGAGAGATCAGTTGCAGATTCGGAGAAATCATGCAAAACAATCACAACCACCATCTGTATGTGCATCTGTAAGAAGAAGAAAAACAAAAAACAAAAAAACAAAAAAACAAAAAAACAAAAAAACAAAAAAAAAACAAAAAACAAAGAAGAAGAAAGAACTATCAACGATGCTTGTCATCAAGCTGCCCTTTCATTCAATAGGACCAAGTCACATTCGGACTACAAATCAAATCTCTACATTTTAAAACACCCTTCCCTTTTCCCAGATCAATCAAGCCTCGAGAGAATACCCACCAAAAAACCAAGCTACAAAGTTTATGATACAACACATCCTTGCTATTCTGTACAAAAAGTTATTTGGAAAAGTTTAAAAAATATGGTCTTCCAGTATATAACAAACTTAAAAGCAACTAAAATCAGGACCAGATCCTTCCCGCCTGGCTACCCTCTTCTCTTCTCTTCTCCTCAACCAGTAATATAGAAGTGATATCCTCAGTATATGCCTCCGTTTGCTAACTGTACCCCGTACACGTATTGCCTGCAGGTTATGTT